CGACCTTGGAATGCCCAATGCTCTGCCAACTGAGCTACCATGATTACTAGATTGCATTGATATCGAAAGAACTAGACTCAGTTCTGAAATATCACATACTCGAACCGACTTGACTGCGTAGCTCAGTTGGCAGAGCATTGGGCTAGTATTCCAAGGGTCATAGGTTCGATTCCAACCGTGGCCGGGCATATTTTTCAAGCTTACCCGGTGTGTATATACACTCAGAGTAACATCACAAGCATCATATTCACCTGAATACATTACACCAACACAGAAAAAATCATGATTATTAGATTGCATTGTTATCGAAGTAACTAGGCTCATTTCCGAAAATCACATAGTATTACTCAAACCGACCTGACTGCGTATCTCAGTTGGCAGAGCATTGGGCTAGTACCGTATTTACTTGTTTGAGCGCCGCGGCGCTCTTTAAATTTTCAGAGCTTCAGATGCGGCGCTCAATCAGGGGCGGCGCTCTTTAAAAAATCTTTTATTTGTGAATTATAACAAGAACTTTTAACAATAAAATAAACAAGTTTTAAATATCTTTGTCACTAAATGACCCCATTTTGACAGCGGAAAGTTTTTACACTGTTTCGTGCGGCGTTCATTCGGGGGCGGCGCTCAATCGAGTAAATACGGTATTCCAAGGGTCATAGGTTCGATTCCCACCGTGGCCAGGCATATTTTTCAAGCTTGCCTGGTGTGGATATACACTCAGATTAACATCACAAACATCATGGTCCTTAAAATGTTTACGCGGTTTTTACATATGATTTGGTACAAGTTCTCGTGAACATCCAGAACAAATTATTTTGCGTGTTTAAATTTTCCACCAACATTAACACACAGCAAGGGATTAAAGACTTTGAAGATCTGTTAACAGCTTTAGCTTTAATTTACACAATATAACCAATTTTTCTAAGATTGAATTTTTATTATTTTATAAAGGACGAGGTTTGAACTTATAACACTGCATTTAATTTTGATAGGCATTAATTTAGCTTTGTATTTCAAGGGGGTTGCTCAATCTAAAACATCCGTCTTTGGGTGTTTGTGACATTTGTGACACTCTATTTGAAAGTTACCTTTTGCTTTGTCTCCCCGAGCAATGTATAAATTTAAATACATGCAGTAAATGACATTTTTATGCTCATTGCTTGTAATGCCTCGATAACCTCGTGGATGAATCTGTAAGGCTTCCAAAGTCGGATTTCTTGCTGAGCAAAGTTGTGGCATGCATAAGCAGTCTACCTAACACCCCCTCCCCCCCCAAAATTACCTACTGTATGTCGCCTGCGACGAAAAGGGAAATCGTGTGTAAAATGATTATGAAGAAGAATTTAAAGAACTTTCAGAGTCTGAACAACGCGCATACGGTGGAAGGAAAAGTCATCCAGGCAATGTCATCCAATCATCAAATCAACATTTGATACAAAATTGTACTGTGTGAACTCAATAGTCAACATTTGTACTATAAGTTTTCTAAGAACTTGTAGTAGTGTCAAGCTTATTTGTTATTATTTTGTATCTTTCTTTAGAGACTTGCACGCATGCTGAAGCACGTGGAAAAGGCAAATTGGGGTGCCCAGAAAACTGCAAGAGTGTTCCATGTTATGAGGGCAAGCTACTGTATATGTCATCAGAAGAAAGCGAGATCGACGAAACAACAAAAAGGATCATGCGTTACAACGTTCGTAGGCTACCCTGGGAGAGTCCATCTCTATACGAAGGGCAAAGAAAAAGTTAGACAGGCTCCACACCTTGTCTTTGTCAGAACTGGTACGGAGCAGAATTGTTCCTCGCGAGGATGGACAGCCCTCCATTCGACCTAAGCCAAACGACTTCCCGGAGTGGGCAGCTAAGAACGAGGATGACAATGTTGTTGATGAGAGTGCCCAGTCATTATCCCTAGTGGCTCTTCGCTGAATGACTCTGTTAATGACATTTTAAATGATCATGACTCTGATTGCTTTAGTTTTTCAGTATAGTAAAGACCCACGATATATCACTCAAAGTTTTCCATGTTCTAATGTATTAAGGGTGCTTTATATATTTGTTGTGAACCTGCATGGCTTCTTAAACAGGTTCATACAAAATTCTAAATAGAAATGTTAGACTGAAAGGTTTTTATTCGTGGGTTTTCATTCTGCACGTGATAATTTGATAATCAAATTTATGAGTTTGCATAATTTACACTGTTTATACGATATGCATTTATTCTGCATGGCAGATTTTTATGTTATTTATATGGTAAATATAAAATTGAAGAAAAAATTATGTGTGCTGAAATCTTTTTTTTTGTCTTTGGAGACATTACTTCCTGCTTTGCTATTAAACTCACCACTGGAGCAGCTTGTTTGCTATTACGTTCAAATCTGGGAAACGCCAGAGAGATCTATGAATGGCATTACTTTTGTTTTATTGATCATCTTACCTGCACGTGCAATTTATTAACGAAAATATCTAAAACATGGCTTAACTGTAACTATTATTATTTGACATTTGCATTTGCGATTTTGAATAGTTTGTTTAACCATTAATGTTTAACCATTAATGGTTAAACAATACTATAAGTATTTAATTAAATGGCAAATGGAAACGTCAAATAGACAATATACGTTTCTTTTCTGTTCTTTTCGTACGACATTAAATGTGTTTTAAGGTTAAATAAACATACAAAACACCTTTGCTTAAAGTTGAGTAAAGACATGTACCTTTTCACAGTTTCAACACCACATTAAATGTGATTAAAGGTTAAATAAAGATACAAAACACCTTTTCATAAAGTTGAGTAAAGGCATGTACAGGTACCTTTTCACAATTTCAACACATATTAAATGTGATTAAAGGTAAACTAAAGATTCAAAACACCTTTGCTTAAAGTTGAGTAAAGACATGCACCTTTTTACAATTTCAACACCACATTAAATGTGATTAAAGATGTAAAATACCAGAGCAGAAAAGCTTTGTATATGTAGCTTCAAGGTACTTTTACAACTCATTTCTCTTCGCAGTTAAAGACAAGTTAGAAACCTTTAATTCCCTTTAAACAAACTTTTCTCATTCTTTAATAGGTCGTCTTTAATCATCTATAATTATACTATAATTTGGACATTTAAAGCCTCCAGAAAAATCTTTAATCTGTATGCTGAAAGGAGAGTTTAGGTACATTTACTAAATTTAATCAAACTGATTAAATGTGAATAAAGCCGCCAATAACATCGCTTTACGCCACCTTTAACCATGATGATAGCTACTGATTTCGTCGATCTGTTGTAAATTGACTGACTGACTGACTGACTGACGAATTGAGAAATATATCTGAAGACGGAATCTTGTGTAGAAATGCTGTCAACAACTAAAGGTGGAGTTGCACAAGCAACAAAATAGCTGCAACTTGCAAACAAAATCTGATTTCAACGCATGTTAAGTAGAAATGTCAACACATGCCTTGTGATTTGTAATTTATGTGTAAACATTTTCAATTAACATGCGTTGAAATCAGATTTTGTTGCAAGTTGCAGCAATTTTGTCGGCTCGTGTAACTCCAGCTTAAGGATTAAAATTTTAAATATATAGGATAATTTTTAAAATATTTTCAACCATAAATACATTCCATTAATTTTGCTGGTTAATAAAGATGATTAGTATTTTTGCACAATTAAGTGCATGAATATAGCAAATCCTACAAGTTGATTGGTTAAATTTGACGTATCAGTTAAGCTGTTATATTCACGTACACTGGTGAATATAAGAAAACCGAAATTTGATAAATGGCGGCTATAGCCGTTTTGTAGTTACTGATAAAGAAATACGCGAAATTAAAATAAATTCAGTCCCAAAAAAACAAAAAAGACATGTGTAAAAATACTAAAACAATTATTCACCTCAGGCTCGGTGATTATCACCTCACCTTCGGCGAATAATTGTTAAATAACTTTCGCTGAATCAATTTGCGCATTACATTTTTTTATTTTACTGCTCTGCGATGTCCGTGCTGCCTCCTTGTGACATCCACAGTGTTTATCAGATCAAATTGTCCTCGCTCGTGACTCGTGGCCGGAAGCATGTCCTCGGAAACGGTAAACGACTTGTGGAACTTCGTCGCCGGTTTTCCCACGTAACTCAGCTGGCGACTTGACTCTCGTTGATTTTATTTTATAGGATGAAATAACGCTTATTGCTTGATCGCTGTACGATTGCGATTACGTATTTAAATCACATATGGGGCCCATTTCTTAGAGACATGACAATTGGTAAATGTCTCAGTCTCCTTGCGAGAACAATTCATTCACATATATATGTATATAGCTGCAATTTGGCCTGCAATATTCAACTACTAAGCGCTCTTCGAGTTTAAGGTTTTGCAAAGGACAACCTTTTTTATTTTAGTTGTATAAAAAACACACTCTAGCTCCCAAGGTTATATCGAGGTACTGATATAGCTATAGCACGAAAGAAGAACGGTTGCATATACTAAATAGTATGCTCTTTTAGGACGCGCCAATTTTATATGTATAAACATGATAAGTTGAGTTTACAACTTGCATTGAAAACTATAAGTGTCAAGAATTTTCAACTTCCGTCCATAATTGGTATTGAGTGTAAAAGTATGGAAAAAATATTAAAACATGAATGAACTTGGCATGTGATTCGGTCCTCGAGATATTATTCGTAAAAATCACTGCATCAGCATACGCTAAAGATTTCCTTCCATCGCTGTTTATATTATGTAAACGTGATGCTAAAGGTAAACATGAAATTTAGCCTTTTCCACTTCGAAAGTTTGAGATAAGTCTGAAGGGTTTTTACTTGCTTTTCCCTGCGAAATGTACGCGATTATTTGTACTTCCGGCGCACTTTGATTGGCTAAATTCAAATAAAGTGCGGTGATTGGAGAATCAACCACTTAAGCGACAATTGTGTCAGGTGTCCGTTTTCCCCAAGAACGCCTGATCGCAGGTTAGAGTAAAATTAAATCACTTTTCCTCGGCGAAATGGACGCGTTTTATGAAGAGATTTCTTTGGCTGAAAAAAGTTATCGCCAGCATTTGGGAAATGTTCAAGCTATTATTCACTTACTTGATCCAATACAGACGATCAACAATAGTCAATCTGGTCATCTCGATGGAAAAAATCACTCACTATCGAAATCGTACAAGTAAGTGAAATTCATATTTGAAAAAAAGATAGAATGACTTATAGTGCACAGCGTGAGCGAATGACGTTAGCATCTTATACTATCAATTATAATCTTGGTTGGTGGCTAACTGGCTATAGTCTCTTGTTTTTCCAAAATAATGCTCAAAGCACTAACAGTTTCACATGGAAAAAACCCGCCAAGACAATGTCTCGAAAAGTTATACGTGCACGTGCTGGTTGTAATAATACTGTCGACTGACTGGCTAGGTTTCTGGTACTTTTGAGTTTTGGCGTTGAGTATATTATTATATTATTATTATATGTTTGAAACTATAAGATATTTGAGTCTTTTAATATGTTGTTCTATCTGTCACTTTTGTCTGCCAATGGTATCGTAAGAATGCGCTAGGAAAAGACCGAAAAGTGATTATACTGTTATCAATAAAGTATGAAGTGGTCGGCATGGTTAGAAAAGCACAACTGTTTCCTTCACACGAGCACATCAAGATTACAAGTTTTTTGTTTTGCCACCGGCACTCTCATTTACGATGCAATAGTAAAGCATGCATACCATATTTATTCGTTTTAGCGCCGCCCCCTAAATATACGCCGCTTTATGATCGCACATTCGAAGATCATCTGACAGTCACAATCAAGGAAATTAATTCGTAGATTTTTCAAAAATTTCACAAATTGAAGTAATCCTATCACGCCGTGCGTCAATTTTGGAGCCCAGCGCCTGTGCATGGTAGAAAACTTGTTCGTACAAAAATATCTCGAATGTAGAGTTCAGAACTTTGCTTGATCGCAAACTTCCAGGAGATGCCGGAACCAACGGTGCAGCGATGTTTTAAAGTCATATAATGTCACATGTATTGCCTTTGTGTAATTAGTATTCATACGTCACAGGTGCGTACTGTATCACTGCGCACGGTGTTTTAAATCTGCGAACAAAGCGTAAAACACCGTGCGCACTGCACGTACCATAGCACCTATGACGTATGAATACTCATTACACAAAGGCAATACTTATGGCGTCATATGACTTTAAAACACTCAGTACACACCTGTGACGCATGAATACTAATCGCACATACCTATGACGACATATAGCGGGAAAGTTTTGCTGATGTAATTTGGCGGTAAACTTACGCTGGATGAGGGATAAAATACTATTAATGTAAAAACAATTGTAAAATTTCTCTTAAGCTATTCAATATTAATTTTTACTTATTATTAGGTTGTGGCTAGCCAAACATCACCCTGACAAAGCAAAAGCCAAAGGCGAAGCTGGTTTGGAAGAAACCGACTTTATAAAAGAGTACGGAAATATTTTGCTTAAAACGAACAATGTAAGAATTAGTATCCTATTATTAATACCAACGAAAAAATACAATATGTTAAGATAAGATAATTTAAATTAACACACCATATATTGATTTTTTATATTATTTGTCTTATATGGACTATTTTTCTTTTTTGGGTGTGCAGAATGCTGCTGTATGTGATTTGTTTGCTAAACTTCACGAATTAGGTAGTCATTCCATTATTTCCCAAGTAGAAGCTCAAGAACTTGACTACAACGATGCTAAAAGGTACAAGAATAGCATAAAGAACGCATTAAGAGCTGTTAGACAATACAACGATGAATGTGACGTTGGATGTTTGAAAGAAGGGGAAATCATTGATCAGCAAACGTACAGCAGAGATTTTCCATCTACTGGATCTGTTTTCGATTTTGGTGTTCGAAAAAATTTAGCAAATCCTAAAATTGATCAGTTATCATCAATTTTGAAAAAACGAGAAGAGAAGAATATTCCCCTGGTTGTAACAAGAGTTAAATGGAACGATGAAAAAAGCAATTGCAGTTTAGTCGGTGATTATAGAGTGTTGTGTTATATACCAGAGCAAGATTGGATCGAAATCCAGCTTATGTCTCCTGTAGATGACCTGGGGTCCAAATGCAAGATCTCTTCTGTTGTTATTGATGCATTTGAAAAATTATTGGAATTACTGAGATCGTGTGTGGTGTTCCTTAAAAAGAAGAGGGATTTAGAAGAGAAAAATTGCCATAGGTATAAGTCACTGGGTTTTTTCCAATATTAAAGGGATAAATAATCTTTTGCAGAAAACTTAGTTATTTTATAATACAATGGCATCATTACAAGTTGATTCACATAGCGAACAAAAGTATGTGATGACGAGTGACTACAATTGACAGGTTCGATTGGTGATATTTCGAGTCTAGTTTCTTCGATATCTATATATTCTATGCACATTCAGAGTAACATCACAAGCATCATATTCGCTCGAGTACATAACACCAACACCCAAAAAATCATATCATAGAGTACATAAATATAGAAGGAACTAGACTCAGTTCCGAAATACACCGGCTCGAACCGACTTGACCTCGAAGCTCAGTTGACAGACTAGTATCCCAAAGGTTGCGGGTTCGATTCCCACCGTGGTCAGGCCAGTGTGGATGCATACTTACACTGGCACTATAATTATTTTTTTTATTTTCTTAAATGTAAAGTAACTTGTATAACTTGTTGCGATATTTCATTTTGTTTAATTAAACATTAATTGCAAACATATGACGTTATTCACCTAATAACATGTATAACAAGATATCAGAAAATGTTGCACATCGATCTTTGCTTTGTTGTTCGTTTTCAAAAAAGTAGTATACTTAAATTAATGCCGTTGTGAAATTAACAAAGTGCTACATCTTCAAAAAATGTTGACAAAAAATAACAAAGATATGTATGTAATGGAGTGAATGACGTCACGTGCTCTGCAATGCTTCATAAACATATTTCGACAATTAGACAAGGAAACAAATATCTCAAAAGAAGTTACTTTACAGTTTTATGAGTTACTTCGTTTAAGACAATATAAAATTTAATGATTGTGCCAACTTAATATTTTTTATTGCTATGGAAGCGAGCGACGTACGTTTTTCTTATTTTGTTTTGTATTCTATTTTAGACACTCGTTTGGTTTCCATGTGGTTAAATTAGTTGAATGTTTTGCTGGTGCCAAAGAATCGAGTCTCTTCACATTTGATCAACACATGGAAGAAAATGCCGCTTTAGAGGAGTTCTTATATTTGAATGGTCTTCGTAAGTGGTCGGTAGCTAGTGATGGATTGTGCTTAATAAGCAGCTGGCAAATCGCAATGAAAACACACTTGCAGAAAAATTACAGCGGTGGAAATGCGGCACTCAAGTTTGATGCAGTTGACGATTTGCGTAAAAACCCAAACCACTATCAACTCATTGGTAATTACGAAGATGATTTCGAGAGGTTCTTGGAATATAATGATTACGCTGGTAATTCTATAGATTTATTGCCTTATGCACTTGCCAACATCACTGGTGTGTGTTGTATAATACTTCAAGTGGACAAAAATGGCGAAATTCGTACCTTTCACATTCCCCCATCATACGACATACCTGATAACGAACCAATTGTTAACCGACCTCCAGAAATAACACTGATCTACTCACCAACTAGACAGCATTACGATGTTGCCTTGACATGTGATGAATACCAAGCAATGGTTATGGAAAAAACAGAAGCGCAAAAGGTATTTATTGATCTTTCCATAGACGAAGATATTATTGATGAATCCGAATGTAGCGACAGTAGCATTGATAATGAAGATATGTACCGGGATATTTTCGCCGATGACCCGGACAGTTCTGATGACGAAAATTTTACATTCTGCGTTGATGATAAAGAGATAAAGTTGTTTCTCCGGTCCAAGTCGATAAAAGAATTAAAGCTCTTAGCTGAACAGCACAAAATATCTCTTGTAAATGTAATCGAAAAGCAGGATCTTGTACTACGTCTAGCTAGTAATCCAACATTGAAAATATGTGTATCGAAAGATATGGGTGAGAAGAAAGCTGCCGAAGTGAAAGAAAGAAAACGATCAAAGAAGGTAGATCCCACATGGTGGGAGGATATTGAAGCCAGAGAGGTGGAAAAAATTCCGTACGACATCGATGGAACATGCGTGTTCAAATTAAGTTTCGATCCCGTAGACCGACTCAAGTCCAGCGCAGATGGAAGATCTTGGGAAAAGTCGTACACATGTAACACGAAAGAGTTTCCTAATGGTCGAAGAAAAGCAGCGAAATGTGGCGGCAGTTACACATGCATAAACAATCTATGTATGTTTTATGTACAATATGGGAAAGAAAACAACGTGCAATGGAAGAAAACTGCTGCTGGGACCCGGCTATGCAAGTGTTGCAATCACTTAATGCAACACATACCATGCGAGGCAAGAAAAATATGGGAGTTTCACCAAGAGCACGTCATTGTCAGGCATTTAGGATTCCACACATGTCCAGCAAGAATTCCTATGACCTTCCCCGAAGAAATTAGCGAAACCTTCAGTAGAAATCCCAAGACTAAACCCTCCAAATTACAACGCGATATTCTGGTTAACTCTCTTCGAGAATCCGGGAATGTGAACGCCGTAAAAGAGTTGGCCACCAATCTTCTCGACAAAAAAAAACTTAGAAACGAAAAACAAAAACAATCTAAAGTAACCCACCCGCATGGACACAGCATACCTAATTTTAAGAATTTTTTATCACTGCACATTTTTGCGCAAAGTTTGGCCGAGCAGAAGCACGCCCTGAAAATTTCTGAACACACCTTTATAATAATGTGTGACCACAAAACAGGTTACAATTGATATTCAAAAATGCCAAAACCAACATACGCTACGTTGTACAGCACCCAGGGTTGCCCAGGGGAATTTGAGTAGTCAGTCAAAGTCAGGGCCGTAGGAAGCTCTTTTCGATTGGGGGGGGGGGGTGAAAGCAAGGGCCGAAGGCCCGAGGAAATTTTGTAATTTAAAGTCTCTGAAATGCCATTTTCTGGACTTTGGGGAAGATTTGACAGAATTCTGATAGTCAGAAAACAGCGTTTTTAGTATGTCGAAATTTACAATTTCGTTGTACTAAATGGGCGAAGGCGTATTTAATTAACTATATATCAATAAGTTGCAGGAAAATATGGGTAATACCTTCATTCTTTGCAGTTTGTCACAGATTAAATGATAAAGGTCTGCATGATTTTGGAAAAAGAATGATTATTAGCAAATTATTAGGGGGGGCTGCAGCCACCCAGCCCCCCGGTTGCTATGGCCCTGTGAAGTATAATATTAGTGCACGCACGTTCGATAATTTCGCAGCTATCATTTCAATTTTATTCAAATTATTCTCATTCAAAATGTTTTGATCAATACTGTCAAGTGTCAAGACGAATTTTTAGTTCAGTTCGTCTGCTCATTGCTTGATTTTCGTGTTAACAACTTTTCACAGGAAATTTTATCACTGCACATTTTACATTTTATCACTGCACATTTTAGTTTTATCACTGCACAAATTGGTTATCACTGCACACTAAAATTAGGTATGGGACACAGTTTTGATGCAGTAGTTCATCTTAAGAGACAGCTAGATGCACAGGATCCGTTCCTTATCTTTGAGATAAATGGCGAGGGTATGAACGAGAATCCATCATATGTTTTCAAAAGCAGCACCTTTTTGGCTAAAATCGCTTTGGAAATGGATAGGTCCGGCAACCACTATATGTCGAAAGAGTGGGTTTTCTTTGACGCGGCCCATAAAAGATGTCGAGGATTCAAAACATTTAGCATCACTACATTCCACCCACTTTTAAGAAAGATAGTGAAGTTAGCAACCATGGAATGCAAAGAGGAAGACACCAGATCTGTGAAAATAATGTGGGAGTTGTTCAATAAAGTTTTGCAAACCGTGTCTAGGCAAAATTTCTACAAATTCAATCCATGTGGATGGATGGTAGACGAAGCAGGGTCAAACTGGAAAGGACTTAAGGAAGTTTACGGAGATGATGTTCAGACAAGAATCGTTAGCTGTCAATTTCACTATCAGCAAAGTAGGAACGATCACCGGCGTAAGTTACTGACAGACGAAGAACGTGATATATTTACCAGATTATCCAATGC